AAACATTCTATGGTTATTAGGAGTAAAGCTAGAGTTTTTAAACCAAAAACTCCTTTTATTAGTTCAGTTGATTCCATTTCTAATGAAATTTCAGAGCCTCTAACTATTATAAAAGCCTTGAAATTTGAGTTGTGGAGAAAGGCAATGCTAGAAGAGTTTAATGCATTGGTAAAAAATAAAACGTGGGTTTTGGTACCTAATACTGGAAGAGAAAAGCCTATGGATTGCAAATGGGTATTTGAAGCCAAGTTTAATCTAGATAGATCTTTCCATAAACCTAAAACTTGTCTAGTAGCTAAAGGTTTTCAACAACATTTAGGAATTGATTATGATGAGAATTTTAGCCCTGTCTTGAAGCTTACAACACTAAGGTTCATTTTGACTCTAGTTGTAAGTTTCAAGTGGCAAATAAGAGAGCTAGATATTATTAATACTTTTCTAAATGGTTTTCTACAAGAGGAAGTATTTATGAAGCAGCTTGAGGGATTCTTTGACAAAAGATTTCCAAACCATATTTGTCTTTTGAATAAGGAAATTTATGGCTTAAAACAAGCCCCAAGAGCATGGTTTGATAGATTAAAGTCCACTCTACTCAGCTGGAATTTTAAACACTCTAAATGTGATAATTCCTTGTTCTTTTTAAAGTTGAATTCAAGTGTGATGTTTGTTCTAGTCTATGTAGATGACATTATCATTATAGGGAGTAATCCTACTATGCTGACTCAATTCATTTGACAACTTAATTGTTTATTTCCTTTGAAGGATCTTGGGAATCTACATCACTTTCTTGGCATTGAGGCTCACAGAGATGTCACTGGTATCTACTTAAAGCAAGAAAAATATGTTATGGATGTTCTCAAGAAATTTGGCATGGCAACGTGTGCATTTGTTCCTACTCCCATGGTTGTTAACAAATGTTATCTATCAATATGAGTACTCCTTTTAAGAATACATCTATCTACAGGCAAGCAGTTGGTGCTCTACAATATTTGATTAATACTTGAACCGACATAATGTTTGTTGTGAATAGATTAAGTCAATTTCTCCATGCACCCACAGATCAACATTGGCAAGCAATTAAACGAGTACTAAGGTATCTCAAGGGTACAACAGATTTGTGCTTATGTGTCAAACTAAGTCAATTTTTTACCTTACATGGCTTCTCTGACGTTGTTTGGGTAGTGTGTGTGGATGATCGATGATCAATTAGAGGCTATTGTGTCTATCTCAGTGATTCGCTCATTGTTTGGTCTGGGACAAAATAGAGAGTCGTTTCTCGTTCCTTCACCGAATCTGAATACAGAGCCTTAGCTAATCTAACTACTAAGCTCACATGGCTTCAATCACTCTTTTCTGAGATCAGTTTCAAGCTGTAGCAAATTCCTATTGCTTGGTGTGACAATCTGAGCACCTCTGCTCTGGCTTCAAACCCAATGTATCATGCATGGACAAAGCATATTAAGCTAGATATCCATTTTGTATGAGATCGAGTTATTTCTTGCCAATTGTCTGTTTGCTATGTATCATCATCAGACCAAGTAGCTGATTTCTTCATGACACTACTATCGAATAGCACCAAAATTAATAAAAACTAGATTTTGCAATAAAGTTCAAGCTAGGTCGTCTCCCTAAGAGTCGATAAAGTAACTATCTGAATTATGGTTACGAAAAGGTAAATAATGGGGGGTTTTATGATAAAATTAAAACTAAATTAGAATTAAATAAATAGAGAAAATTCAACTAATAAAATTATCAAGCACAAGCAGTACAATCAATCACAACCCAATCACCTAAATTTAATCTTCCCCGTCCACAAAATAAATTAATTTTATTTAACTTTATTATTCTTATTCTATTATATATTTCTCAAATTATCATTCAGGAATTAAACAATAAATTAAGTTGTAGATTAATTGAAATCTCCCTCAACCCACAACCTAACAATTGTTCTAAGCTAGCCACACCAGAAACAAAGCATGAATAATCACCCAAGCTAGGCCAAATTACTCTTATGTTACTATATCAATCGATTATAGCAAGCAAAACCTCAGATAAAATTTATAACCTAAACATTATGCAATAAAGCTACTCTAATCAATAATAGCAATTAAAGCATAAAATTCAGAGGTAGAGAGAAGAAGAGTAAATTGGAATAAAGCTAAAATAAATTCTTCCTTGAGTATCAAAGATTTTAATTAAAATTTAGGATCATGGTTAGTGATTGATCATATAAAAAAAATTAATTATTCATAAAATTAAAAATCAAACCAACATGAGATGAGAATAGGAGAAGCCATCACCTGTATTGAAGAAAAAAAGAATAGCGATCACTTTTGTCCTTTCTTCTTCCTCCTACGCACGCTGCCACTTGTTTCTTTTCTCCTCTCCGTCAAAAACCGTGCTTCCTTTTTTCTGTATCCGTTGTGCCTCCTGTGCCGTGTATTTGCTTTACACACACACACACACACATATCGCGTCTCTCTTTCTTTCTTTTCTAATAAAAATCAATAATTTATTAAAAAGATAAAACTACCTTAAATAACCCTAATTGAAAACTACACTAAAAAATTTAAAATAAATCTAAATAAAATTTTTAAAATTTAATTCTTGATTTGATTTCCAAACATGCCCAGATTCTTCTTATCTAAAATAATATTTATCAATATCTTCCAAATTGAATCTAGAAAATCTACACAAATAAAATAAAATTAAATAGCACCTGTGCACAAATATTAAAGATATCATTTATATTTTAAAATCATAAATTTAGATAATTAAAATTTTAAAATTGAATATTAGCTAATAAAATTAAATAATATCTAATTAAACTCAATTAGCCTCAAATAACTATTTAAAAGTCTAAATTAAAAAAATAAAAATATATAAAATTGTTATTTATCACTTCATAAAGGCACTGTCTCACTCATGATTTCAAGTGTTAAGAGACAAACTTGGTTTGGTCAGAAGCCCAATCCTTTGTTTGAGGGGGATTGTGAAAGCAATAGACAAGCCCAAGCACTATAAGCCTAACAAAGAGTCCTAATAATACTAGAACTCATTTACCTTTTATTTGTTATATGTATTAGAATTGTTTATTCTTTATTATTTCATCTGAATACGTGGCTTCCTATGGCCTATTAGGGTTGTGTATTATCACTATATAAAGGAAATCATACATAAGGCTCTTTGCGCCATCTCCTACAATTTCTATTATTGCATATTTCTTATCTATCATTAGTCGTCATTATTTGACATGCCAAGTCTTAGACATTGCAAACAGAAATATCACTTGTTAAATTAGTAACTTTATTTGTTAATTTATTAATATTAGTTATAAATTAATGATAAAGTTAGAAAATTAATAACTGATGTTACTTCTTATCTAACAAACGAATATAATTTACAACTTATATCAATAAATTAATAAATAAAATAAAAAAATTAATAACTAATAATGTTATATAATAATGAAGGGTACAGTCTTTTCATCCTTGAAATTATTTTTATCTTAATTCCCTTAAATTAAACTGAAATTTTAAATTTTTTTAAGACCTACTAATAATTAAGTCTCATCCATGATTCTTAATTGAAAATTTCTTTAAAAATTATCTCTTATGCTCATTTACTTGCTAGTCAGGCTTTTGTTAGCACTGGTCTAAATTTTTTTCTTTTGTTTTGTTTTGTTTGGCTTTTTTTTTTCTTTTGTTTTGTTTTGTTAGGCTTTTTTTTTTTTTTGTGCTTATATGAACAGCTCCCACGAAATGAATGATGACGTCGAGGTAACCTGGTTTTCCGTGTTTTTGAGTAATGTTATCCCGTATTTATTTATTCATTTTTTAAATAACGTAGGGACCGGTGAGTGTCGCGTTCTTGAAATTGAGAAGGCAATTGCACGGTAGACTTGAAGTCAGCAGTCAGCGTCAATAATGGGGCAGCTTTATTGATCAAAAGAAAATAATGGTGGGCTGCTTTATATAGTCAAAGTGTTCACACCGTGTCTCTTGACGGAATGGCGTAGGGGACGCGCAGGAGAAATAAAATCATGGGCATGAAATATGGATAATGAAATTATTTAATGACTAGCAAGTAAAAAAATCAATGAGCCTCAAAAAAGAAAGGCTGCATGATTTTACTCGCAGCATATGATGAGGAAACCATAATTTAATATTTATAATAATTTAAAAATCACACCCAATATTTTTGCCAATCAACAAACGAGGACTATTAATTAGTCATGCTATCTCTATTCTATTTTATAAGATGATTTTTGAAGTAATTTAATGGTTTAGAATATATATATATTTTTAAAAACCATTTGTTAAAAAAATTTATTTTAAAATTATCCCTCATTATTTTACTCTTTTTGATAAGATCATGGTTTCACCCCTTAAATATATTTCTGTCTCTTTCTTTTATTAAATAAAAATCATTTTTAAAAGTTCACAGAGAAATTAAAATTCTAAAATTTACACTTGATTAATTGATTTTATTACTATTTTCAATTTTTATTATAAAAATGTCTTATAAAACAAGACAAAAGGTATTAACATTAAGGAAATAATAAGAAAATAGCTCAAGATTTCTTAATTATTTAAGGGCCAAGCGTATCATCACGGGAACAAATTCTCGGAAGTTGATATCTATAAAATTTCATAAGATATTTTCTATATTTTATTATTTTTTATAAAATATAAAAATGTTCTATCTATTCTTTAAAAAAATAAAACTTCAATGAAATTTACAGATTCTCAGAAAATTCATTCATAGTGCATCGCAGAACTTTTAACTTTATTAGGCTAGGTAATATGTACTTGTAAATGGATAACATATTTTTTATTATTTATTAAAATTTTTAAAATCTTTTTTAAATTGATATTACCTTTAAAAATATTTCATAAACTTCTGTAGAGCGGAAAGAGCAAGCCATATGGAACCCCAGGGAAGCAGGGAACGACAATCACTTGACCCGATATGTCTAATTTTGTAATTTTCTATGCCGAGTGAACACCAAGTGGCCTTTACTTAACCAATCATCACTTGCTCCCACTTTTTGCTGATATTGTTGATATATCGCAGTGAGTAGAGTGGCCTTTACTTTACGAATGGATCCCCAGAGCAGCGTTTCTTCTTCTTCAAAGAGGGTCTGGAAATATGATGTGGCTATAAGTTACAATGATATGGAAACTGACTCGGTTTATAGAATGCTTTGGAGTGCTTTAGGAACAAAATATTTCGTCAGAATCGGCAGCAGATGGGTTAACCCATTAGAAAAAATTGAAGAATCCCAGATTTATGTAGCTGTCTTCTCAAAAAGTTTTGTTTACTCATCACGTTGCTTGGACACACTGGCAGTAATGTTTGAGTGCATGAAGGTACCTGGCCACAAATTTCTGCCAATTTTCTTCAACATCGATCCGTCTGAAGTGAAAACATGGCTCGCTCCATTTCAGACACTACTGGAACGCCCAGATTTGGTCATACAAAACTGCCAAGTAATTATTAATGTTCTGTTTGGTTTATATGTTGTTGGATGTGGATCTGATTCTTCATATCTCATCTCATCTCATCTTTATGATCTCAATCAAAGAAATAGAGATGCAGAGGAAAGTTGTATATTATGTTTCCAAGACGTGGGCAGCACCTTCCTGGAGGAGTGAAGCCTCCTCCGGACCTCCGACATGCATAATTTCGACTGTGTGGACCGTTCAAATTTAATATTTTTTATTTTTATTTGTAAAAAAATTAATAAATTTTTTCATCAATTTAGACGGTCCATATCTGATATAAATAGTCCAAGTTTATTACTTTTTTATATATTAACTTTCTAGATATATTATAGATAATGCAGGTTTAATATTAAAATTTTTATAAATTAAATGTGAATTATTCATATTAAATCTAGACTGTTTATATTGGTGAACAAATTTATTAAATTTTTTACAATTTATGTAATTTTTTATTTTAAAAAAATGTGAAATAAAAAATAAATTAAAATATTAAATTTTGATTGTCCAAATTAAAAACTCAACGGTTCAAATTATGCACATCCTCAAGGGAGGTGTGGAGGGAAGCTGAATCCGACTTTCCTTTATGTTTAATTTACCCCAATGCATTCCAATCTTCAGGTGTAAATTAGGTTAATGATAAATTTCCTTCAAGATATAGTGAAGATTCTTGAGTATATATTATACCTTCAAAATTTAAGACAACAATGATTTTTAGAAAGTGTTAATTTGACTTTATTTCTGATACATTTAAAAGCAAAAACAATAAGTTTTAATAGTTAGAAGTTTTGGATGATCAAAATGAGTAATAATGATGGGTATTTATATATAATAAAGCCAGGCATCGAAGTGGTACCTTTTAAATAATAAAACTATCTTTACAAATTGTAGCCAATGTTTTGATTCATTACCCTTATATTAAGTTCATAAAAAATTTTATGTTAATTCATAAACACCCCTATGTTGGTTCATGTCTAATAATTAATATTAATAAATGATTATTTATAATAACTTTTTATGAAAATAACATCCTCTAAAAATGTAGAGGTTTTTGAAACATACATTTCCTTTCCTCAAGTAATAACTTTTAATTTTATAATCTCCCAAATGTGCATTGAAAATTTAAAGAGATATGACATTGGTGATTATAACTCTCTAAATAACTCTCCATGAATATTTCTTAATTTATAATGACATAACTCCTTAATTAATAAGGACATGACATTTCAAAGAATATGATTTTTCAAAAAAAAAATCTCTTTATTTTAAAAATATTGTAAGGATATGTTGCAATGTGGGAATAATATATACTCAGATTTCTTCCACATAATTTTTATCCTTGTTCTCTTATTTTCTTAGGGAAGATCAAAGACGAGTTGTTGGCAAAATAGCTGTGGAGGCAAAGAGAACTCTGGTTGAAGAAAAAGAGACGTGAGTTACATTCTGTTTAATTATTTTTTTTTTTTTTTGGGTATGAGATATTATCATTCTGATAAGAACTCTTTGTTCATGCTTAAATTGATCAAACCACTTATTTATGTTTTCAACAAGAGTAATAGAACAAAGGAAATAGAACAATTATAAAATTAACAATGCAAGACTATTTTGGCAAAGCTAGGGGTCGGATTTCCATATGCCACTTTGGTTTTCATTCAAGGAGCGAGAGTTTTCCTATTAGTTTACCATTTGAAACTACCCAACCAGCTTCTGAGAGTACTAATGATACTTATATTACACAAGGGTTTGGGAAGCAAGAATGGTTGAATGTTACTAAGAAACTATGGTTTCAGATTCGCAATGGATGTCCAGAGAAGTGTATGGTCATCATCCAAGGAGATATCAGTGATGGTCGGCGCCACATATAAATCATGAGGGGCAAAAGCACCCCTTCGACTTTAAAAAAAAAAAAAATGCAAGGAGGGTTTATATATTCTAATACTTTGCACTTCTTGAATCAAATATTTTGCACCCCTTAGTCTCACTTTAAAGATATTTGGGTTTCAAAAAATTTTATACTCTCTTGAAGTTAGTGATGAGATTAACAGTTGCCACAACAACGGTAAAAGGAGAATTTTTTTTTATAAAATTTGTGAAAAATAGGTTGTGAAATCATATAGAAAATCCATTGATGAATAATTATCTAATTACTTATATTAAAAAAGATATTTTTCTTAGTATCAACAATGAGATGATTGTTTAACGATTTCATAACATGAAATCATACAAAGTACAATTGTTTTTAAAATTATTACGTTACTTTTAAATTATTAATTTTAAAAATGTTGCACCCATGGCCCAGAGTCCTGGCATCACCACTGGAGATATGGCCATGGAGCTGTGATGTGTTTTTATTAAATTTCATAACTGAGGAAAATTGCTCATTTGTTGAGGAGCTTCGCAATGCTCTATATAGATGTGGTCTGGTTATGGCTTCTCGAGATTCTATTGCTCGAGCTCCCTTGAACAACTACAAGCTTCGTGTTTTTATCGTCTCAAAAAACTGAGGCCCAAACACCCTACTTGCAGGAACTGAACTCATGGAGAGGCCAGTTTCTATCAATTTTTTTGGAGGTGGATCCCTTTCAAGTACATAGTGGTTTTCATAAACTGCTTGAACAAAAGTTGGGGCCATGTTCACTTCCTATACAAGATTTGGTGGTTCAAGATAAGTACGACCTTCTTCTCTAATTGTTCTGTGCGTATTTTAAAATCTCTTCCTTTCAGAGCATTTTTAAGAGACAAAGTGGGGTAGAGAAAAGAAATATATTGTGATTCAATTATCATTTCATCTTTGTCTTCTTTCCTTAGTTAATTACTCAATTTCTGGAATGGTTCATTTTATATAAATTTAGGCAATTGATTCATAGATTAGTGTGCAGTCAATTTCATTTTCTTGACAATCTTCCCCATCAATAATTGACATCTGTTCACTTCATTGGTGGCGCTAATTTTCTTTTCTTTCATCTTATTCAGGAGAGACCAGTCGCGGGTTATTCGTAATATTGTTGAGAAATCTACCAAAATTTTGTGTGCGCATGATTGGTAAGTAACATTATTTTAGTTCTTTATGGTTCTTTCTCTACATATACTTGGCTGTATCAAATTGATCAAGTCCTTTTTTATGTGTGTATGCGGATAGAGAAAAAAGATTTGAAATCTCATGTAACAAAATTATGAGTTAATTGAAATCTTGTCCGCACTCATACATATATGAAATAATAACTGCTAAATTACTTTTATTCTTCTTCTCTTCTACAGGATATCATCGCGATATGACATCGAAGCATATGTAAGGGAAATAGATAAATCAGGAGAAATAGCTACAGTTGGGATAGGATATTGTCGTGTAGAGAAATTAATTGAGCTCATGGACTTAGGCTCAAATTATGATGTGCGAGTTGTAGGGATTGGTGGGATGGGGGGAGTAGGGAAGACAGCTCTTGCCAAAGATGTCTTTAAAAAAATCTCCCACCTTTTTTATTCTGCCTATTTCATCTCCACTCCAACTACCACTCAAGATTATCCTCCAAGTCAATCCATATTAAAGGAGGCATTTCTTCAGATAGCTTTGCCAAAAGAATTTCAACCTTCACGTTTAAAAAGCCCAAGACTCCAGAGGATGCTTGTTGTTTTTGATGATATTGAGTGCTCGAAACATTTTGATGGAGGATGGATTAGACGGTTGTTTGGAGGAGGAAGTAGAATTATCATAACAAGCAGAGATGAGGGACTACTCCTTAGACATCTTGGAGTAGATGAGATTCACAAGGTAGAACTATTGAATCAAAATGAAGCTCGTCGACTTTTCAGCAAAATTGTTTTCAAAAGTGATAAACCAATGATAGTTTATGAGGAGCTGACCCTCAAAGCACTTAAATATGCTGATGGTCTTCCATTAGCTATTCAATCAGTAGGTTCATCGCTTGTTGATCTAAGTGTCTCAGAGTGGAAAAGTGTGTTGACCAAACTTCAAACAGTTCCTGACCCTTCAGTACTTGCAGTGCTTAAGAAAAGTTTCGATGGACTCACAGATTTGCAAAAGAATGCTTTCTTGGATATTGCATGTTGTTTTACAGGACAAAAGATTGATTATATCAAGGGAATTTTATTTTGTCGATATCTTTTTAGATCTTTTCGTGATATGATAATCGAAAGTCTTATAGAAATGTCACTAATAAACAGATCAAGTCAAAAAATAAAAATACATCGTATCCTACAACAATTAGCAAAATTAACTGTTCAACATGAATCTCCTGGACCTGGAAAGCGGAGTAGGATATGGAATTATGAAGATTTTCGTCATATCATGGAGACAAATACTGTAAGTTCTTTATACTTTAATAGCCTTAAAAGTAAATTATCAATTTCGCCTATAGTAATGTAAGTTGTTAGTTTAGTTCATGAAATACCCCCCAACTTAGATAAAATTATTGCAAAAGACCATGCTTATTCCTTCCGTCCTTAAATGTTAGGAGTTGATACAGGTGGTTAAAAACCCATCTAGAATAGGGTTATTATATCTTTCATCAACCCCCTCCTTGGATTGATGAAGGAGGTAATTGATGAATAATCTGCATCTCTGATAGGATGTTGTAATTGGCTTATCATCTTTAAGAATGATTTCAGTTCTATTTAAAAAAAAAAAAACAATCTAGATGCTTGTGAACAGAAAGGAATGACATTTTAGATAGCATAGACATAATTAACTATGTTAACAAACAGCCCAATTTATGATTTCAACAAAGCCTTTAAGTTGATTTGATTTAAATTGTTTTTTTATAGATTATATGGATAAAACATTTGTAGTTTAGAAATTAGAATCTTAGCTTCTTGTAAAATATATATAAAATTAGGGTGGATAGTTTTGACTTTTTTATATTTACTTGTGCAATACATCCATATTAATTCAGGGAACTGATCGTGTTCAAATCATAGTAGTCTCAAATGATGAAGAACATCCACAGGGGACAACATTGAACATAGATGGTTTATCAAAATTGAGGAAACTCAAAATCCTTATATTCCACAATGTGAAATTTTCAGGAAATCTCTATGATCTTTCTAACAACTTGAAATATCTTTCTTGGCATAAGTATCCACTTAATTATTTGCCATCAAATTTTAAGCCAAAAAGGCTTGTGCAATTGATCATGCCATACAGCAGCATAACACAACTATGGAGAGATGAAAAGGTATTGATAACATGTGTTCATTTATATCAATCAAAACTAAATTCATGATGATCAGTAAAGTTATATGCTGCTTTTAATTTGTTGAACAAACCAGAATTTTATATTTCACAATTTTAGGCTTGTCTGGTTTTTGTTTTTAAAGATTTAAAAATTTATTTGAATAAGCATTTTCAATTTAATTGTATTTAAAACTATTCTCCTTTTTTAAAAAAATAGAAACATTTTAAAGTTGTTTGCATTTTATTTTTATTGTTTTCAAAATATATTATATTTGATTGTTAAAAAATACAGTTATCTTGATCAATTACTATCATAAGCCATCATTGTTACTGACTAGCGACTAGATTTTTAATTATAAAATTGATTTTTAAGTTAACATAACCAAATAGATATTTTCTTTTTATTTTGTTTTCAAACACAGTTTTAAAAATTATATTAAAAAATAGTTTTTAAAAACAAAAAATAAAAACAAAAATGAAAAAGCCCTAAATATCTCATTTTAATTCTTCAAAGAATATTTCTTATTCAATATTTCTCTCATTAAGAGGTGATGAAGCCTCACTGTCATTGGGATATTTCCATGACAAAAGTGTAATTATAGCACCTTTGGCATTGACATTAATGAAGGTGAAAAATTGTTTTGGATGCTTCAATTAAAAGTCTTGTCTTTGAATTTGATGCTTGTCTAATCTGCTATCCAGAAAGAGATGAAGTGGCTGGAGAACTTGAACCTCCGTGGCTCTAAAGATTTGATGAAGATACCTCATTTTCAATTGCTTCAATGTCTTGAGAGGTTAGACTTGGAAGGATGTACTTCATTAGTGCAGCTTCATCCTTCTATTGCGTATCTGAAATGGCTTAAGTTTTTGAATTTGAGGAACTGCACAAATCTAGAAAGTATTCCAAATGAATTATTTCGCAAAAGCTCTCTTGAATTTCTAAATCTGGCTGGCTGCTCCAAATTTGCCCAAAGTTTGAGGTTCAAGAGAGTAATATTAAGTTGGTCTTATGTTAGACTTATGGGGCTTTAATCATGTATTCATTATATGAACACATCTCTTTCTTTGCATTCAGCTTTATCAATATTCTCGTCTGCTACAACATTAATATGTAATATTTGTGTCTATTTGCGTTCGTTATGGAACATTTTTATTTTATAATTATATCCAATCATACATTATTTATGGTGTCTCAGATTTTGACACATCATTTTACAATGAGATAGTCAACCACATATATTTGGCAAACACACTGGATTTAGAGCTAATGGGGCAGATATTATATCATTTAGTCCCATGTTACAGTTTATTTGTATAACGTAGATATTTTTTCTTAAAACTTGGTTTAACAAATTGAATTATGTTTATATTATGTAATTTAAAAATAGATCTAGATGTATAATGACCGAAAAGGATATAAATTTTATGATACACATTTGTGTTTCATTTTATATCTTTAAAGAAAAATAGTATTAAACTTTAAACTAAATTTAAAAATAAAAGAGTGAATATATAATTAAGAAGTATTATTTGTAAATTTTAAAAAACTGAAATAAATTAACTATTGGTAATATATATATATATATATATTGCATTGAACGCACCAGCATTATAACCCATCCTAACCTTATTAAGAAACACATCAGATTTTTGAGACATGTTACACTTGAACCCACCTCCCTCCAATTAAATTTGAGAAACTGCATAAGTTTGATGATTGGTATTTCAAATGAATTATTTGACCAAACCACTCTTCAATTTCATTGGTCAAGAAAAAGGACCTCTCTAGAATTTCCAAATCTAGCTGGTTGCTCACGATTGCAAGATGCCTGTGATAACAATTGAAAACATTGCCTCCTGTCTCACTAATACAATAGTTAGTTTTTCTGTTAAATGTCCAACTTACAGTATTTTAAATTTGAGCTTGAATGTGTCTCAAATATGATTTTTTTAAGTGTTTCTTGTATTGAGGAATGGTTTTATCCATTTAATGAAACTATGAGCACAAAATCATCTACGCAAGGCAAATCTTATTGTGGCGGTACACCTCCAAGCCAATGGAATTGAATGAAAACTCAGCTCGCAACTACTTCACTTTTAAAAACTGAAATATGTCAAAAAAAAGAAAAATTACCAAATTGACATTCTCTGCAATTAAATTCACTTCCTCTGCTACTGCATTACAAGGAGTCTCCCTTCTTCATAAGTAGCATCATCCTAATAGATTGGATAAAACTGCCACCCCCAAAAGCTCAATAACAGTGTTGAATAAATAATATGTACCAATCAATCTGAAATATATGACATGCCTACAACATTAGAAAACCTCAATATCTCCACAAATAACAATGAGTCCTAAAACGTATAGTTCTAAAATGACATGAATGGGTGAAAATCTAGAAGCCCAAAGGAAAGGATGTACAGTGACCTCGATAAATGTCCCATTTCAGAGGGAAGAAGCGGAGGTAGAGACTCTAGATGATGATGGAGGCTCAGAATCCAGATTCTCTACGTTTTTAGCCTCTTCTGAGCTTGATCTGTATCTTCCCCGTTTCCAGCATCTCTAAAATGTGGTATTGCTTGATTGCTAGATGGGATATTCTCATGATGCTGCACAACAAATTGAAATATTAGCCTCAGAAAGGTAGAGGAGCGAGTAAATACTGGTTTTACGTGTAAAACTAGGAGTGTTGTTGCACAATTTGTAGGATCCTCCAGGTAAAAATTTGACTATTGAAGAATAGACTCACCATTTTTACCTTCCTTTTTCCCCTTCTATATTTTTCCATTTAAAGGTTAATATACTCATTTGATTAACCATTTCAATTTCAATGAAATGCTTAATTAACACTCCCTGATCCAGTCCTAGTGCTACTTTGGGCAGTCACAACCAACAATCCATCTCCATATAGCTGAATTTACGTTTCTCTGTAAATTATTTGGTTCTGTAACTAACTTAATGACCATAGGACTACAGGAGTAAGAAATTAACATGACCACATAAGATTAGTTATTTAAATATGCTACTTATCACTTTCTGATCAACTGCTCCTATTACATATGATGGAACCCTCTCCTCTAACAAATTTAAAACAAGCAAAAATCAGAAAATAATTTTTGATTACAAGGATAATGATGATTCACGCCAAACTCATATCCCTCATACACTCGTACACCTAAACTACAGTTACAGAGACAGCACAAAATACACTCATGAACAGTAACATAGACATAAGCCGCTCACAAACTCACCAAGCAGAAGATAAAATGATGAACAAAGATGACTTCCTCCACCCCAATACACTAGACTTTTGAGAGGCTAGAACTCTCCTCACCAATCTCGGTATTCAAAATAATCCCCCCCCCCGGGGCACGAAAGGAAAGATTAAAGCCCCAAAAGTTACAAAAGGTTGAACATAATCCTAGCTGAACCTAATCACTATTCATACATCACTTTTTCCCCCTGTGGCCCGGAACCTTTGGGTAATTCTATTGTCCACTGGAAGATAATTATTTAGTCTCTTTCCTACACCATTTCCCTTCATACAGACTATGTTATAGGCCCTAGGAAATGATATATAAATCTCTCCTAATTCTTCAGCTCTATCAACATATTTTTAGCAAAGCCATATTGCAATGAAGCATGAATAAAAAAGCCTTCATCTCCTTATAGCTAAATCTATGTATACTTGAATTTATGTTTCACACATGGTCAGTGTAACAACAATGAAAAAACAACAAGTAACATCCTCGCTACCAAAGCCCAAACTTGTTAAACCTACCAGACACCGAGTTCTCCAATGTAATCTGTGCTTCTAACTTGCATACTATCAAGTCCTAACACTAATTTAAAATAAAAATATTGAAATTCATGATTTAATGTGTCTTATGGGACTATTGGTCCATTTTCTAAGTCAGAAAAATCAGAGTCTAAATATGTCAGAACAATTACTAATATTCATCAAACATATTCATTTGGTATCCTGTACAAAAATAAATATTTTCTATCAAAATGGTATGCATAAAGGGTTATACAAAAAACATTAACAAACCAGTGTATCAAATATTAATGTTGTCTTCCTAAGACAAGTAGGCAAGTCCATAAATGTAAACATGGTCCCATAGGATGAAAATCTTGTCACATCTAAGAGTGAGTTATAGTACCATAGAAGCAGATGTCCCACAGCCCAGTCCTTTGTTTGCCCGCTTTCCAAGATTGATTTGAACAGAAATGCTAGCCTGTGAGAGATCTAAACCAGCACTCTGTAGTGCTTGAGTCAGATTGTGTAACAGCCTGTTCATCACACAATATACTACATATTTATTATTAGAGCTGACAAATCAACTATATAAGCAAAACAAATGCCACATGCTCAGTCCACTTAACATTACAGGCCGGAAATTCAACAAAGTTTTAGAATCAAAAGAACTTGTGCAGAAGAATAAAGATCTCGAGCTCATATCACTTGCTCCAATCACTTGAAATACTCACAATACCACAACCAAAAGTTCATAATTACCTATCAATATACGCATGCACAATTGATGCTTTCAGAACATCAATTACACTTTAAACTTCAACATAAGAGGAAACTAACATGATCCCAATTCTCCAACAGGTGTATTTTGCATACCATGAAATTCAGGTGGCAACTGAACAAACTCAGGAGAGAACCCACACAATAAGATTCAACTTCCATTCTGTGACACGAAACTAGGGGATGAAATGCTGTAAGGCTAATTCATAAATAGCAGCCAGTGATCCTAGAAATTTTATTGTTCTTTTTAAAAAGTAAGGAACAATCAGCTAAGCCAATTATGCATTAAGACCAATTTCGTAACCTCTTCTCCTTAATCACATCAAAAATTTGATAACTTAAGAGAAAGTGGTGGAACGGGCATGAAATCAGGATGATGAATTCATGATTAGCAAATTTAAAATAAAGAACCTCAAGAGAAAGCCATCAAGATTTGACCCGCAAATATGACAAGGAAACCATATTTAATCAACAACAATAACAAGCCTTATCCCACAAAGGGAGGTCGGCTACAAGGAAACCATATTTAATATTTTTATAATAATTAAATTAAAAAAGGCACAACAAATATTTATACCAGTGAACAAAGGAAAACTATTAACTTTCAACAACCACCCACCCTTGAGAGTATGCACTTGAGATGTTAATTGTTCCTCCTTCAATTGTCAGCTCTTCCTGTGGATTCTGAGATTCACTGTTGGCAGGACATTCAGTTGATTGCCCCTCAGAAACAGACCCATGAAGAGGATGGGCAAGCGCACCATCACTTCTGACAGGAACAGACATGTTTGCATGCATAGGCATTGGCAGAGGTATCCCCTTGCATTCTAACTCAGCTTGCCTCTCTGCTGTTTTACTGACAATATCTCTGCTCTGTTCAGGATCTATCATATTTTGAGAGCCACTAAGCACAGTTGGAGAGACACTAATGTTGCTTTCATCAAACTTTCCAGGAAAAGGTGATACAGGACCAGAACCATTTTTTACAGCTTGAGGTTGGCCAAAGCTTTGAACACGCCAGTGACTGTTTCTCTGTGACATTAAGCTATGTAAGCAAACTGAACAATAATAACTCTAATAGTTTAACCAGCACAAGAGATCCATAATTAGAAAACTAAGAACCAGCCAATAACTAATATGATAAAGAAATAACAAGCTCCAATATTAAGCAGAGGAATCTTTCATGGTTAATAACTGCAACCAAAGAGAAACAATTGACCTGAACTGCAACAAAGTATTGAATTTTAATAACTGCAGACCACTTCATCAGATAACATCTATGAGCAAGAGAAATTCTGATAAACTGGGGGCACTTTGGACAAATAATGAACTGGAAAACACATAAAGACAAATTGGATTTTTTTTACCACATTTTTCTTAACTTTCTTTTTATCTACATTTTGTTTTTTTGATTCTTCTTCTCACATGTCATTCAGAGATGTGTTGGTCAAGCATCATGCCATCATCTCTGCATGACATACAAGTATCATAGGTAACTCATTTACATATAGTAAAAAGCCAAGAGCCAAGCACATTGAGGTTTTCCCAATTTAGTTTAGATAGTTCTGCTTCTTCCATCCACCCCTCCTACTTGAATAATAATAAGAAGCTGCAAACTTC